CGAAAAGAGACTTTTGCTTTTCGTCATCACTACTACATCAAAAGGGAAATGGTTATTGGCAGAAATCGAAAAATATATTTCAGAACATATGGTGTTCTAATATTCTAGCTAGCCGCCACTTAAAATTAATTCAAATTCCACTGAAAAAATATATTTTCATGTCAGTCAAAAGACGGTATACTGCCTGAGGATTGTTTAGAAGCAAGGCACTTTAGGTTTTCCGACATGCAGCAATACCAATTTACCAAGAAAATAAATGAACGATTTCTGAGAGGGACGAGTTTTTTCCTTCGATATTTGAATCTGGCAGATTTTGAAAATCTATGAGTTAAATCAGTCCCAGCACATATACATTGGTATCATACCAATAATACTAAAATAGCCCGTACAATCAGTGTGGGTATCCTATCAAAATAATGCTACTGAAATGCTTCCACGTGCCGGACATAACTGAATTTTATGAGTGTTAACATTATGGATTTTTTGAAACTGAATTTTCAAGATCGAATTTTCTAAGATTTTTATGATCAAGCGGCTACGTGAAATTATGTGGGCAAGAAATGCCCAAAACAGAGAAGAGTGGAAAAGTTGCCAGTTTTATGAATGGTGACAAGTAAAGCGACGATGAAGAAACAACATCTGATCGAAGCATCAAAGTGTAATTAGAAAGACTAAATCTCGGGTTTTAATTAGCTCTGAAATTGACGAAATCAAAACATACCGTTGTTGCTGACGAAGTCGATTCAGTTGTCGCACTGGATGAAGTTGTTTCAGCAGTAGTGTATGAAATAGTGGAAATAGGAGAGATAGTTATTTCTGGCACTTCATTGCTGGCTGATTCCAACAATGCACTACTGCTATTACTACTGTCATTTTTATTTATCAAATGACTGTGAAGCAAAACCGGAGTAATGGCGGTTGTTTTTACCGCACTTCCGGATCCCTGATCATCGTTACTATCACCACCGCCACCAGAATCCTGGATTTTTGCTGATGATAGCACTTCTGGCACTGTGGTACCACTAGCTTTGATCAGTGCAGGCAAAGATGAAGAATTGTTGTTTTGACGCACAATAATTAGAAAAAATATGCCGCACAGAACAAGTAATAAAGCAAAAACCAGAAACAAATGCATAATATATTGTTTTTTATCAGCTAACCACAATTTTTCACGTTTTTTCTGCAAATCTATTACAGGAGCAGTAGCACTAGTCTCGGTACCGTTAGCT